TCACAGAGGGAGCCACAGCCAGCGAACACAAAGCTCTGATGTCAGAGCTGAAGATCCTCATTCATATTGGAAACCATCTCAATGTCGTCAACCTTCTTGGAGCATGTACCAAACCCAGCGGTATGGATCTACCATTGTAAAACAGATGCCTCTAATTGCTCAATACAGTGATCCAGCTTTGATAAAATACTAATTATAGAAATATTGCATCCTCAGCTACTATTTATATCACTGCAGCACCCAAAGTTTACATGTCAGGGACCATCTTCCAGCAGAATGATACTACTTTTTTATGTTGACCTGGCCAATATGGCAGTATTTTATGAAAAAAGCCATAGCCTTTCAAACATTACAGTTTGATTGTATCCTTGTAACTCAGTTTTGACATAAATCGGTTTGTCTGCTGCATTCTTCTTCTTTCTAAACATCTCTGTTTAACATCTCTGATTGTCAGGTCCTCTCATGGTTATAGTGGAATATTGTAAATATGGAAATCTCTCCAACTTTCTGCGTGCCAAAAGGGAGTTCTTCTTACCATACAGGGTGAGAGAGACGAATAACATGATGATATACATAAGTCCACCCTCTCACAACAGCACTACAACCAGTAATAACTGATATGTAATCTGGTGTAACATGCGTTGTGTTTGCAGGATCGTTCTCCTAAAACCCAGAGTCAGGTGCGACGAATGATAGAAGCGAGTCAGGTCAGCCAGCATGAATGTCAGCCGTCCACCACTTCCAGCATCAACCCTCCGATGCAGTCTCGTGGTAAGAGCACTTAGAGAGCAGAATATATAAAAATCTATAAAGATTATATATTAAATATAAACTGATGTTTACCTGGTGGATACTAAAGCTGCCTTCACGTGCTATCAAAATTACTGTGAATACAATTTCAGGGGGAATTCATGTGCAAATTCTGAGTAGGAAACTCATAATTATGAATAGGAAAGGATCATTTTGAGTTTCTGAGTTGGAAGGAGTCATTCGTTTTCAACATGGCAGAAAAGAGTAGGCTATGGTTCCTGGAGTAAACTGTAGTTTTTATTATTTTTTTATTTTTTGTTTCTACAAAGCACTCGAACATAGTGAAATAAAGCTTTTCAAAACTTTATATCAAATGAGCCAGCTGCTTCGCAAAATGATTCAGTTTGAAAGCACTGGTGACACCTGCTGGTGCAATGAGAACGCGCGTGGCCCAAACATACATACAACACGCCTATTACAAACCAGCTGCAAATGTTTTGTTGAAAGTTTAGTTTATTAAAGGGGGGGTTCAGTGTTTTTTTTTCTAGGCTTGATTGTGTTTATGGGGTG